CCTCTAGATTTTTCTTTCCTTGACTCCCTTTCCTACCTCTCCATGACTTTTAGATCTACCTCTCCTTGACCCTGCCCTTTCTTTACTTTCCCTCAACTTCTAGATTTCTCTTACCTTGACTCCCTTCCCTACCTCTCCATGACTTTTAGATCTACCTCTCCTTGACCCTGCCCTTTCTTTACTTTCCCTCAACCTCTAGATTTCTCTTACCTTGACTCCCTTCCCTACCTCTTCATGACCTTTAGATCTACCTCTCCCTTCCCTACCTCTCCATGACCTTTAGATCTACCTCTCCTTGACCTTAAATTACCCTTCCTTTACTTTTCCTCAACCTCTAGATTTCTCTTACCTTGACTCCCTTCCCTACCTCTCCATGACCTTTAGATCGCCCTCTCCTTGACCCTGCCCTTTCTTTACTTTCCCTTGACCTCTAGATTTCTCTTACCTTTAATTGACTCCCTTCCCTACCTCGTTATCCATGACCTTTAGATCTACCTCTCCTTGACCCTGCCCTTTCTTTACTTTCCCTCAACCTCTAGATTTCTCTTACCTTAATTTACTCCCTTCCCTACCACGTTATCCATGACCTTTTGATCTACCTCTCCCTCCCCTACCTCGTTATCCATGCCCTTTAGTTCTCCCCCTCCCTTCCCTACCTCTCCATGACCTTTAGATCTACCTCTCCTTGATCCTACCCTTTCTTTGCTTTCCCTCAACCACTAGATCTTAATTTACTGCTTTTTGCTTACAACAAAAGTGAAACCTTTACCACTGAATTTCTCTTTACATTAATCATAACCAATTTTGTAATAAGTTCGTAGTTATAACCCTCCTTGATTGCGGGAATCAATAACACAAACAGCCAAACAAAGAAACACAGAAATATCAAAGCTGAAATACCTAGAAATGATATTTTTGAGATATTGGAATCAAACAAGGCTATTATGTAAATAGCCGGAACATCAAAGGCATCATCGCATGCTAGCATGAAGCTCACCCATCTTTGACTATGGTGGAGCGAAAAGATAGCTATGGAATAATTAATATTAATGTGCTTTTCCTGTATAATCAATGACTTTGGGTTGTCAATTCAGAAATAAACAGGAAAACATTATTTTTTGTAGCTGTTGACTAATAATGTTTTTAATATGGTGAAGTTACAGTTGATCCATTGGAAGAATTAATAAGAACAAAATTTGCATTCAGATGTAACACATCACAGATATTCACCAACAAGAGGCCCAATGGGCCTGCATCGCTCACCTGGTATAAAACTCACACTTGTAACCTTAAAAGTGATCTAAAATAAAGCTACAGGCAAAATATCAGTATTTATGATAAAAATTCATTCAAAAGAACCTGTTATTTTTTTTTTTAACATTTCACCCCTGTGATTGAAGTCCTTGATCCCAGCATATGCTACTGACTAAATATCAACATCCTGAGCCTTTTGGTTATTCAGAACAAGTTGTTGAAATATTTTGAACATATTTGCTCCTTGTGACCTTGAATATGATTCAAGGTCATACATTTATACAAACTTGGTAGCCCTTGATCCTAGTATGCTACTGACTAAATATCATCACCCTGGGCATTTTGGTTATTCAGAAGAAGTTGTTTAAAGTTTTTGACATATTTGACCCCTGTGACCTTGAATATGGGTGAAGGTCATTCATTTGAACAAACTTTGAAGCCCTTCATCTCAGCTTGCTACTGGCCAAATATCATCACCCAGGGCATTTTGGTTATTCAGAAGAAGTTGTTTAAAGGTTTTTTAATACAATTGACCCCTGCGACCTTGAATTAAATTGAACGTCATTCATTTGAACAAACTTGGTAGCCCTTCACCCAAGCATGCTACTGGCCAAATATCAACTTCCTGGGCATTTTGGTTATTGAAAAGAAGATGTTTAAAGTTTTTGACATATTTGACCCCTGTGACCTTGAAAATAGGTGAAGGTCATTGATTTTAACAAACTTTGTAGCCCTTCATCCAAGTTTGTTTCTGGCCAAATATCGACACCCTAGGCCTTTCGGTTATTAAGAAGAAGTTGTTTAAAGTAAAATATTGACGCCGGACGCCTGACGCCGGACGCCGCGCCACGGCATAAGCTCACTTGGCACTTCGTGCCAGGTGAGCTAATAAATACAGACTCAGTTTTAAATTCACTGCTTTTTGAATATTATTTTCACGCATTATATAGAATCATGAGTTTCACCTAAAAAATCTGCATTTCTGTTTCTTTCTATCTACCCAAGTGTTTAATGTTATAATAAATATGGTTTTAGCTGCATGTAAACAATTACCATCAACTTTATAGGACCTTAAAAGTAAAAGATTTCGTAAAATACACAGTTTTGCTTACCTACTACTATAATTTTTGGAGCCAAAAATGAAGACCTAACAATTATTTGGCCTAATTAAAATTATATATTTGAACCTTTTTGGATATCAAACAGCTTTAATAAACTGAACTCTTCAGTTTCTAGGATTCAGATGAACTCCAAACCACCAGCAAGTCCATTTATCTCCTCACAAAATCTTGATTCTCTATGGCGCCTGTATATATACCTGGTGCTTTCTGCCTCAGCACTTTGTTGCACCAGACAATAACATGGTAATGAATGAAGGTAATTGAATCCATTGTTCTAAAATCAATCCCTCAATCAAGGGTTTTCTAGCCTCATCAGACACAAACTATTGTCATAACAAAATCAATGCTTCAGTCTCCGGATCATATCATTTCAAAGCTTCTGTCTTTCTTTCATGACATAAAGTACTGCTAAGCCTTTACAACCAGACACAGGGCATGTTATATCAATGCAAATAGTACTTGTAACAGTGTCCTGATAAATCAATAAAGAAAGAAAGAAAATCATTATTTTATCACATAGAAACACAGCCAAATATCCCTCAATGAAAGTTGTTAAAAGCTGTTTGAGAAACAAGAACTCTATATTGTATTACCAGAATATCACATGGCTGTCAATGCAACAGCAAAAATGGAAACCCGTCCCCTTGATGTGTTCATTTACATTTTGTCACGGAACAGTCTCACTGCTGCCCGAATCTTTACAATCGATCTTGACAGAGTTTCCTGTTTATGTGATGCCCAACAAAAGTACAGAAGGAACTGCATGCTTATTAAAGTCCAAGCTTCTCCATCCGGAATGGCGTAATTATCCTTCATTTACGTATTTTCCCCATTTTTATCACCGGGTATTTGAAATGTCACTTCCAACAAAGGCAATAAAATCTATTTGAGAATAGTAATCATATACTGTTTGGTTCCTCGGAACTGCTGAATTCTGTCCGAGTGGAAATATTCCTCCGATTTTAACCAAGTGTGGTTTCAACTCAAGACAGCAAGTACTAAACATATGACTTAATTGTCCCTGTTTTAGATGTGCACACTTAGTGTCGCTAGCTATAACTGTATCCATTGTTGTCAAATGACGTTACACAATATGTTTTCATTATGGCCCGTCATAACCGTTGGTATCTATAGGTGCCTCAACCCCCAAACCTACAAGAATTTTAATATTGTTTGACAAGCAAATAATTTTCAATAATAGCACTGAAAAGTACTGTACGTAAAGGATATAAGCCGAAAACTGTCTATTATGTAAAATATTGGACAGTTTAGCGCCTCAGACTGTCCAATATTTTACATAATAGACAGTTTTAGGCTTATATCTTACTTAAAACATGTCCCCTATTGTATCAATTGTGATCAGTGTTTTGGTGCATTGTGATAATATTGGACAGTTTCACTATGAATCAATTACCGTGAAAGCTATTCATAACATATTGGACAGTTTTTCAACTACACTGTATACTGAGGTCAGTCATGTATATCAATCTCACTTTGCATGATTTGTATGCAACTGCATATACCAGGTATGAAATACACCCAGGTATAGTACTTATCTCATTCCAATCATGAGTTCCGATAGTGAAGGAGTATTTTTAACACAGTCAACATTTACAACAGAAAATACTGTTGTAGATACAGATGAGATATTAAGTGATGTCCTGGATTTACAGAAGGAAAATATTACACCTCGGCCAAATTTCAACATTTTAAGTGAGATGTTCTCAGACATCTCGGAAGATGAAATGACAGAAATAACTCAAGTTGTTGAAGAAGTTGAAACACGGCGACGATTTGCAATTCCCATGCAGGATGGTGATTTGAAAAAAATTGTTGCAAGAGAATCATGTGTAAACACAGAAAACAAAACGAAATGGGCTTTAAAAGTTTTTGATTCATGGATTGAACAGCGACTGATACAATCCAAAAACAATGAAAAGCTGAAAAACTTTCCTAACAACTTACTGGATTTACCTGTCTCCAATATTAATGAGGCTCTGACTTATTTTGTAGCTGAAGTTCGAAATAAGAATGGTGCATTGTATCTTTAACAGTGGATTTACCTGTATATATCCAGTGGATTGATCACCCTTGTGTCAATTTTTTATTGTTTCAATAATGCAATTAAATTTTGATGGATATATTGTCATGCTCCAGTTTCTATGTTCTACTTAAACTGGTCCAAAAACATGTCCGTTATTTTTAACAAACTGTACAATATTAAAATATTGGACAGTTTTATGATCTTATTGGACTGTTTTTGTAACATATTGGACAGTTATGCATATAACAGTACTCATATTCTATATAATGGACAATTATAACAATGGATGGCATCACAAGAATGTTTTAAACATGTATATATATATTAATTCAAACCATGCTGTCCTTATCATACATGTATGTGATGGTTTTCTTGTCCTGAAAGAGATATTGACCAAGACAAAGTTAAGGTCAACTACCACTTTTAAGGTCCATAAAAGCACATATTCAACGTAAGAACAAAACAAATTAAGCTGATTTACGTTACATAAAGTATAAAACTAGAGCAACATTATTGGACTGACAGCAATTATATTGTCATTTATAAATCTATTATAACGACATTATTTGACATGTACTTACCTCCCTTGCGCTGAGAGGAGGGAGATGGGAGATGATTGGAGGCCGAAATTGATTTTCAAATTCATTCGGCTTCGCAATCGTTATCCCATTATGATGCATCTGTGAAAAACAAGACATAAATTATTGATAATTCTAATAGTTAAACTATTTTATTTAAAAAAAATGAATAATACAAACAAAACAGTATTTTCAAATCTACAATACAGCCTTGACATCAATGCAATACAAAAGGAGTGACGATAAATATCTATATACATAAACATTAATTTTGACATTTAGCAAGTGATGTGGCATTTTGTTCAATTATTATAGGAAGATCAATAGACATATTATAATTGAACACAAAGCATTTAATTTCATGTTCAAAACAATATCATTGCCAACATTAGCAAAACATGTCAAGCATTTGACCTGTTGTTTTGGTACAATGACCTAGGCAAGATGCTCCAGAAATTGTTTGAAGATCATGACCCACTGTACATGATATATTTGTTATGAAATTTCATACTTTCAACAGCTCAGAAGTCCTGCTTTCACAGGCTTTGACTATATCAATATATTATATTTGACCTTTGACCTATATATGTAACTTTCTGAAAATACGAACTCCTGATCAGGAAGCCAGACAAATTAAAACATAGTAAATATAGGTCTTGTAAAAACAAGTGACAACATGATTTTCTAACAACTAATAATTGGATAACTAATAACACCCCTTCTATCTGGGTAACTAATAACACCCCTTCTATCTGGGTAACTAATAACACCCCTTCTATCTGGGTAACTAATAACACCCCTTCTATCTGGGTAACTAATAATACCTTTTCTATCTGGGTAACTAATAACACCCCTTCTATCTGGGTAACTAATTAAACCCCTTCTATATATCTGGGTAACTAAGAAAACCCCTTCTATCTGGGTAACTAATAATACCCCTTCTATCTGAGTAACTAATAACACCCCTTCTATCTGGGTAACTAATAACACCCCTTCTATCTGTATAACTAATAACATCCCTTCTATCTGGGTAACTAATAACACCCCTTCTATCTGGGTAACTAATAACACCCCATCTATCTGGGTAACTAATAACACCCCTTCTATCTGGATAACTAATAACATCCCTTCTATCTGGATAACTAATAACACCCCTTCTATCTGGATAACTAATAACACCCCTTCTATCTGGGTAACTAATAACACCCCTTCTATCTGGGTAACTAATAACACCCCTTCTATCTGGGTAACTAATAACACCCCTTCTATCTGGGTAACTAATAACACCCCTTCTATCTGGGTAACTAATAACACCCCTTCTATCTGGGTAACTAATAACACCCCTTCTATCTGGGTAACTAATAACACCCCTTCTATCTGGGTAACTAATAACACCCCTTCTATCTGGGTAACTAATAACACCCCTTCTATCTGGGTAACTAATAACACCCCTTCTATCTGGGTAACTAATAACACCCCTTCTATCTGGGTAACTAATAACACCCCTTCTATCTGGGTAACTAATAATACCCCTTTTATGTGGGTAACTACTAATACCCCTTCTATCTGGGTAACTAATAACACTCCTTCTATCTGGGCAACTAATAACACCCCTTCTATCTGGGTAACTAATAACACCCCTTCTATCTGGGCAACTAATAACACCCCTTCTATCTGGGTAATTAATAACACCCTTTCTATCTGAGTAACTAATAACACCCCTTCTATCTGGGCAACTAATAACACCCCTTCTATCTGGGTAACTAATAACATCCCTTCTATCTGGGCAACTAATAACGCCCCTTCTATCTGGGTAACTAATAACACCCCTTCTATCTGGGCAACTAATAACGCCCCTTCTATCTGGGTAACTTATAACACCCCTTCTATCTGGGTAACTAATAACACCCCTTCTATCTGGGTAACTAATAACACCCCTTCTATCTGGATAACTAATAACACCCCTTCTATCTGGGCAACTAATAACACCCCTTCTATCTGGGTAACTAATAACACCCCTTCTATCTGGTCAACTAATAACACCCCTTCTATCTGGGTAACTAATAACACCCCTTCTATCTGGGTAACTAATAACACCCCTTCTTTCTGGGTAACTAATAACACCCTTCTATCTGGGCAACTAATAACACCCCTTCTATCTGGGTAACTAATAACACCCCTTCTATCTGGGCAACTAATAACACCCCTTCTATCTTGGCAACTAATTACACCCTTTCTATCTGGGTAACTAATAACACCCCTTCTATCTTGGCAACTAATAACACCCCTTCTATCTGGGTAACTAATAACACCCCTTCTATCTGGGCTACTAATAACACCCCTTCTATCTGGGCAATGATAACTTCCAAAGTCCCTATCAGTAATTGAATTTTCAGCAGTTTATTTCTATATATATATTTTCAATAGAATTGATTTGTGTTGTAGGAATCTGGGGAACAAAAGTCCCGATATTTTCTTAAGATTTGGTTACCTAGACAATTTTAATCCACTAATACATGTAATACAAAATGTATATAGAAAGTTGGGGCATCAAGATTATACTAAACACTATATAAAAGAACACTTACATTTTTTTTTGTATGTTTCCCATTTAGTATAAAATAACAATATATAATCCACCTTTTTCATGTTTACAGTTATAAATCTTCTCCATATTGATAAAATGTAATATAATTTTTTTTCGTCACTTGATCTTCTGTTCCCATTTCTATGAAATAAATACAAGATCCTGTTAACCCATTAAAACCTTAGAATGATCCTTGGAAGCAATTAATGATCCTTCATTCAAAACACTTGGGATTGGACTTTTCTTGTTTGCCACTTCCATGTTAAAAGGTTTTGATCTCTGGTAATAGTTTATTGTGCAAGTAAATGTACATGGACAGAAAGCATTTAAAACCCAGCCCCAGGATATCATGGAACCCTGGCCATGTCTCATTGAACCAGAAACAGTTCGTTAACAATTTTCTATTGCATGCTAGCACCTTTTTAAAATTCCTCAATAGGATATTAAATAAACTTTCAATCTTATACATTCCACGGCCCCGAGGACTTGTATGAAATGCACTGGTCTGGAGATGATTTGGTATTTTTGTAATCCAGTGCTGTGTTCCCTGTTCAGGGACAATAGCCCTAGACCTGGTACAACAGTTCTAGTACTGTTAGCATATTGATTCGGGACAAAATGTCAAACGCGTTTTTCAATTATATAACCGAGCAGTTAGTGTGTTCAAAAGCTGCAATTTGTTGACTTCTAGGATAATCCATAATACTTCAATAAATATACAAAAGTAAATAAGAAAATCAATGCTAATTTCCTCCCTTCCTGCTCAACCCATATCACTCATTATCAGCAGTCTCACCTATAGTGGTACTTAGTAGTCATGTTTAGATCAATTGTCACCAACAAATGAGCTATTATAACAAACTACTTATAGATTGGTATGTAAATGGATGAACAATAAAGGCAGCATAATAACAATTCAGAACTAACAACGCTTTAGTTTGAATTTAATTTTAAATCTACTTAGTAATATAAATAGTGTTTTCAAACTTTATTTTTGTATGGCAGTATATATAACAGATCTGACATTTGATCATGTATCTGAAAAACAATTGACCAAGACAAGAACATTGTCATTTTTTTCATAAATTTGTATAACATTTTATTAAATAATTTAAACCAGGAACATATACATATACCTCCAAAATATAATAGAATGTGTTGTTATGAGGGATAGAAAAATAGATCAGTACAGTGTATTTTATTCTGTATGGACTGGCAAGCTCATTTTCAAGGCTGATAAGTACAAACTTGAATCTGAATCTGAATCGGTACGTTGCAGGGCCAGTGTATGGCATCAATGGCAACGGGAGAGAGGCGCTGGAAAATTAGTCCAACGATGTGAGAGCCACCGAAGTTTTAAAGCTCTCAATTGACTTGGCACACACGAGATTGTCTGGTAGTCTATTCCAATCGGAAATTGTTCTTACAAAGAATGACTGTTTATATTGCTCGGATTTGCTAGGTGGAATTTTGAAGCACCGGCTGTTGTTTTGTACGAATTTATCTACAATGTTTGTTGTATTGTAGTCACTTAATTGTTTTGATTTTATTTGTCGTTTTGGTCTCTCCTTGACTAATACAGAGTCTTGCGGGATAGCTGGTACCAACTCCCCTGAATTCTTTCCTTTGAAGCAATACATATCTACAATTTGAATACAAATGGACAAGGATCTGAAAACAAGTAACAAGGCTGATTATCTTTGGTGTAATCATTTTCTTACTCCAGGAGGCAGTTCACTGTAAACAGGAATAGGGTTAATCACACTTTGTGGCCGACAATTCCTTATTTCAATTAAAAAAATAAAAATAACATCACCTTGCAATATCCTATAACCATGCTGCAATCCTATTAACCATGCTGTTGCCCTCTTTCATAGACAAATGTTGTAATTTCAACTAAATTGAGCTTTTCAAATTTCTAATAGCTTTTAAAGTATAACTTTAGACTTTCAGATTTTTTTTTCAATGTTAACCAATCCCTCTATAAAAGTGCTCCCCTCCCCATCCCCTTTCAAAAATGAAAAAAAAAAAGAGAAAAACACTTCAATACAAGTCAAAGGAGCCCCCTTTAAAAGTTCCAACATGTCGTTAACAAAGTCCATCCTGTCCCTGGATCTATCACATCCTCAAGGATTGTACATATATACATATCAATTTTTTTACTGAAAATTACTGGACACTGATACCCAAATTCTGTCATGCCATCCAGAAGGACCTGAGAATTTGTTACAGATATATATTTTGACCTAAACAAAGGTGTTCAGAGGAAATTTACATGTTTAAGGGGTTTAGATCGACTTTCAGTAAAAATGACACCCCCAAAGATTATACATTTTTTGTATTACGTATATATAATAATTGGGGATGTCATTTTTATATATATTTGTCTACTTTGTAAGCCTAAAAAAGGAGATTCAACACTCAATCTTTACTTTGAAATAGTATTACCTATATTACCTCGACAAAATTACCTATTACTACTATATGTTCATGTTCTGAAAGCACTGTGCACGAGAGAAACGATTTAGCATAGCAACGAAAACGGCGGCAAAACATTAGAGTCGGTTACCATGTCAGTCAGCATCCCTGACTGGTCCAGCTGGGAACACGTGAGAAAGTTTTGGACGGTAGCCTACAACTATATATGTTTGTTCGACTTTCACAAACGACTTTTCACATAGGACATAATCTTATACAATCCTTGGCATTTAAAGTTTCTACAAAAGCGCTCGACAGTCCATCAAACTTGACAGAACTTCTTCGTGTATAGACACACTACACTGAGAACTGTCAAAATCACTCGTGCGTGAACTGAGCGAAGATATCAACAAGTTTCGTTTCGAGATATAGCTTACCTGTTTCAGAGGCATTTTCAGCGTTTTCGCTGTCCAACTTTATAATATATCCATTAGTTGAATGATATAAATCCGCACATGAATTTAAAAACCGACATTTGACAAAGATTTTGACAAGTCGCTAAACTTTCACTCCTTTCGCCGTCACGTTGAATTGGCACACTACATTGCTTTGGAAGGAACTCCACTCCACACGGGTACTATTGATATGCAAATGAGGCGCCTTGGTGACAGTAAACAACATGGCGGGTTTCTCCCTTTCAGAAAAAGCGATCGGGGACAATTGTTTGTTTACACCCGTTGTGGAAGTATTAGAATCGGCTATAAAGGTGATAAGAAGGGTGACGCGGTATTACAGGTATCGATCGATTGCCGGTATACCTACACATAACACTATCCAAGATTACCAATCGAACTTTGAAGAACTTTTTTTCTCACTTCAAGTCAAAATTGACAACTGTGTATCTCAAATGTTCTCTTTATGATATTTTAGTGCATAAAATCACTCAGGTAATACATTACTTACGCTTTGTGAGCAGTTTGTAAAGCACGTGCTCTAGCTAAACTGGGCATTTTGACAAACTTACAATAAAATCAGACACGGTCATCTCTTGTATACTGTATGAGATAATGTTACTTATGTCTTCTTAATGCGGAGTTCGAACCCAAATACCCTACTAACTGATCAATTACCGCACCAAAATTTGCACGATTCGAGAGTTTTATTTTGGATTCGCCGTGATTAAAAGTCCATGTGACACCATCTGTAATAGCTCTACAGTATATTCTTACCCCTGTTTTAATAGGTATATATTTGTATACGCAAGGTCTTGAGGAGCGTTTCGTAATGAAAGTTCGTATTACATGTATATCGATGAGTAAGTTGTACAAGTGGTTCTTGACTGTAGCTATATACCAGTGGTCAATAGATATGTTATAGTTATATAGCAAAAGTTTTTAAAACATTCGATATAATTAAATGCCCATTCAGTATTTAAAGAAGTATATTTAAGTACTGTTGCAGTTTTGAAATTTGCAAGCGGAGTTAAATTCACAATTTTGAAAAATTATTTATGGGAGATTTAGTCAGAGGCTGATAGGGAAAACTTCTCTTGCAGAAGAAAAAACCCGTTACATATATGTAATTTTTAAGTAACTGAAGGAACCTGTCTGGTGTCTCCATGCTTGTGCTGTGACCTGCATCAGGGGCGCTTTCCCTGCACCCGCCGGGCAGTGCAATAGCTTTGAATCTGAATGTTGGCGAAACAGCATAGGCTGCAATAAATATATGTACATTATATTTGCATGATCAGCATATCAACTATTTTTGTCAAGTTTTAAACAAAATATTTCAGTTACATAGCTGAATAAATCGATACTGTATTTGTATGCTATATATAGAAAATGGTATAGGCCGCAGTAACTAATTTCACTAACTGTACATTATAATTGCATGATTACAACATAACGTGAGCTATTTTTGTCAACATTTTCAACAAAATATATACTTATATACTTATAGCTTAAGTATTTCGTTTAGATCAATCAAGCACTGCACTGTGACTACAGGTTTTAATTAGACCGCAGTGACCGTAATCTAACGTGTGTGCATCATAATTGCATCAACTATTTTTTACAAAACGTTAACACTTAAATAGCTGAAAATTTAAAATGTATTCAGTAAATCTTTACATTTTTGTATCCAATCAAAAATATATTACGTCAACATTAATAGGTCTATCACAGTTGTCTAGTTTCGTTGTTATCCTGTATATAGGTAGTTTGTTCATATTACTGAATAAAATGTTCGATGAAACCAATTTAAATGGTCATTTATTTATTTTTCAAACATTCGACAATAACTGAAATCTCTGAAAGCCCAGTTTGTTAAATAGAATTGCATGCGACACTTTCCGCACGGAAATCTGAAGTCTTCATACATTTTTTTTTCTGACAGACAAAAAGTAGTGAAATCTCTAGCATTCCTCCCTTCCCACCCGTGACATCTATGTTGTGTATCCTCTATCTCCATAGAAACGTATAAACTATACGCCATTGATCCCTCTTTAAAGCCCGTACTGAATGCATGGACCAGACTGCTCTATCACAGAATCCGAGACAAGCTACATGTATTTGCCATGATAAGTAGATACGAGTTATGCCCCTTACTTTGTGAGCCACTACTTTCACAACAAAGTCTATTACGAACATAATCCTCCATCAGTATTTCAGCTAACATACTGCAATATATCATAAATATATCATAAATATAAGCTCAAGAAAAAGTCAATACATGGGGCTGATGTGACATTGCTTTAATAAAAAAAAAATGTTGCTCGAGGCCGAAGTATTTTAACCGATCTCAGCCACAGCCACCCTCAACATACATATTGGCGTAAAAGCACTTGACTCGGAAGAGGTTTTGTTTTCATGAGAAAAAAAAACATTCTGCAAAATCTGAATTCATGACTTCAATCATTTATTTAACATCGGTAGTCCTGGGTTCGAATACATCGCATTATTCTAGACGTATAAACATCCAAAAGCAACCTTGTGATCAGTTGACATTTGTCAATATTTTCTCACTTCGAATCTGTAGAAGTGTATGAAAACTTCTAAAAGTTGCAATAATTTTGAATAATGAGCTATGGGTGTGGTCTTTGGATATTAAACATAATCAAGATTTTTTTCTGAACAAAGAACAAAAGAAAGAAAACAAGTTTGTTGCCAAACATAAAATTGCACTGAAAAAATATTAATTTCGTTATGTTTAATTGTTTATTGCATCTATATCACATTTACGTAATAGTGATAGAAAAAATAACAAATGAACTGTAAAACAATTTTGTGTTGTACAAAAATGTAGTTAACAAAGTGAGTTCTGTTAACATATTCAGTTCAATTAACTGTTCTGCATTTAGCATCCATGAAACTTACGAACGAACAGATATGATGTAGAGTATTGCTTACAATAATATCACACACTTAGCATTCAGCTAGCCTGCTTTCCTCAGTTCAGTTGACATTTAGAAAATGAGGCTCATTTCACACAAAATTTCCTGGTCGTTAGATCAGACCTGGATTAATTGAATCTATTAAGAAAACATGAGATCATGTTAAAATAAAGTTGAAGTAAAAATAAAACGAACTTCATCTTCCAATTACACATCCTTCAAAAAACATAGTTGGCAAGGTTTCATTTTTCCCAATCAACCTCAATCTCGGGAGCCTGATTGTTATAGATTAATCATAAACTGTAGACGATAAATTACTGTCAATCGAAGAACTTTTGATTCTCAATGCAAAGAAAGTTTATTGCCAAATGATTTCAAAAAAAAAACCGACCCCAGTTGCATACAATTGTTTTTATCATATTTCATTTTTGATTGTTCACATGTTAGTACACAGTGACAATTATTACATTGTATTTCATATTGTCTCGCATACTAATGAATTCTATCTTCTTTTTCATTTTGTTTCTTTTCCTGTACAATAACAACTGCAACTGCTTGCGTTCTTATTTTTAGGTAGTAAATAATTCTAGATATGATTAACATCGATATTAAGAATAAGCAAAATATGAATTTAAATTCAATTAATCTATGTTCAATGCTGTGCTGATGACGGACCACTTCGCTATTCCTTGGTCGGCTTTTGCACGGGGATATGACAGGATACATTGATTTTCAATTAGCTTATAGTATGATATTGCAGAACGGACCCCGCCAATAGTTGGCATTGTATGTTTGTTTCTGCATGAGTAAATATATTTCTTTATGATGATGATACACATATTCACACTTTCATTTTCAGGAGTGTCATCTATTCAGAATATAAAGGAAATATTTGACCACGGAAAATCTATATTACAATTAGTTACAAATTGTTGTCTTAAAAATGACCATAACGCACGTGTATGAGGACAATCCCAAAATAAATGCGTCAGCTTTTCTCTATTTCCTGTACAAATATTACAAATTTCTGTTTCTGTGATGTTCATTTTCATTAGTCTAGAGTTTGTATAGAGTATTCCATGTAGCAATTTAACTTGAAAAGTTTGTAGTGTTGTGTCATCTGTTATATTGAAGGGTAGTTTGAAGTACATCTTCCAACTGTCATTTGTTATATCTAATCCCATTTTCCCTTGCCATTTTTGCATAGATGAAATAGGGAGATCTAGATATTGATTGACCAATATTTCATACAAATCTCCAGTTATCTTTCCTTTCCCTTTTAGTATTCGTATATATTTGTTTTCTGGTACATCAATATTTTTCTTAATGAATGTTTAAATCACATTTTTCCATGAATTTGGGATAGATGCTAGTAAGCCATAGTACTCAACGAAGTTAATTTGGATATCATATTGAAGTTTAAGTTGATACACATCAATAAATTTACCCCTGTCATTAACTAAGACTTTAATGAAGAAAATATTATTTTCTACCCACAGTTGAATAATTTCAGTAATTGAGAGTTGGCCTGTTTCATTGACAGATACATCGGTGTAATCATCTTTGAGAATTTCTTGTTAAAAGGAGTTCTCTACCGGATTCCCTCTGGCTATACGTATACAGTTAATGCATCGACAAGGAAAAGACAATAATATAGTGGCCGTTACTCTTAAAGAACACAAGAACCATTCATAAACAGAACTGGTTATGGTGGCTAATTCGGATTGCTTCCGTTTTGCTGAGACGATAAATCTATAGATCTAATACTCTTAAAACAAAACGCCGTTTAGCAAAATAGGACGGTGCCTTTTCACTCTATTGCGTTGACAATGCGCCGTTTTGTATAATAAAATGACATCTTTTCATTATTCTACGAATCAAGCGCCCTTTTTTCAGTTTGTCGCTTTGACAAAGCACCATTTTGAAAAATAAAATGGCATATTTTTTTCTTTCTACGAAACGATTAAAAGCGAAACAGTGCCGTTTAGGAAAATGAAACGGCGTTTTTTCGCATTGTCGTTGCGACAAAGCCTCGTTTAGCAAAGTAAAAAGGGCACTTTTCGTTTCGTCGCCGAAACAAAGCGAAATAATAATCTTTGGTTATATACAATAGAAAACAACAAGGCAATCATCAATTCTGAATGTCTGCGCGCTCCGAATATTTGAGGGCACTTTTCGAGTTTTGTCTGTGATGTATTGGGAGCGTGCAGTATTAATATGTAA